TTAGTTTGCATAGCAAGAGCTGTAGGATTTGAGTTTCATACTCTTTGTTGGTTTAAGTGGGAAATGCTGAGCATCGACAGCTAGAAGTTACATGGTAGGAAAGGTGCTTGTATTATATAAGTAACTTGAAAATTCAGGAGCTCCGATTCCACTAGCAGTGCCTAAGCTTTACAGATTAACAAAATAATGGTATTGCTTGTTTGTGAATGTAGATCTTTATGGATAAATACCCTGTCTAAAAGTCTACAGAGTAAATCAGATCTGCATTCATTGCCTTGGTCTGTTTTTTATGCCTCTAATTGCTTCAGGACACATTTTGTGTCTGTATAGGAGTTGTAGCTCACTGCGATGGACTTCCTGGAGTCACTGGTGCTGCTTGCAGTTGCAAAACTTAATCACAGAAGTACTGCTAAAGCAATTGGTCAGCAGAAGATAGGAGTCATGTTGACCTGGGTACGAGATGGCTGTGAATAACAGCTTTTGCTAGAAGCAAACAAAAATTGGTAGAGGGAGGCCACCCAGCTCTGCATGGCCTTCGTGATTGCTGACTCCTGCAGACACGTGCCCGCCGTACGTGTCCTTAGCTCTGCTCTGACACGGCCCGGCTGGGCAGTGCAGTGTGGAGCCATGGGCAGATAGATAGCAAGAGGAGTACGAAGCAGTGGCACAGCAAAGGACTGCAAAACCTGACAAGAAGCCAGACTTTATTTACAAATGTCGATTCCAATTTATGATGCCCTATCAACGCTTGCAAAGGCATTGCTTAAAAGCTTTTGTTCGCAGAATGTTTATGCAGAAGACAGTACGTAGGACTGAGTTCTTTGCCAAGTGTATACGATACAATTAGCTATCACTCTATCAGTATCACCTCTTAAATTAATTTTGCCGGTTTTCATAATTGCAACACTGAATGATTTATGTTTCCCCCTTACTCTTCCCGAGTTGCATAACTCGTCATTGCTGTATTAATTTGTCTTCATCTGTCCGTGTGTTTTTCCTGTTTTGTTTGTACGTATGCTGTAACTTTGTGGCCCTCAAACAAGAACATAAATACTTAGTCTGAAGAAATAATGAGTGCTGAAAGTCTGCCCAAAAGTGTTGTGGTCTTCTCTTTCCCCTAACACTTCTTTCCCATCCCATTGAAGCCTGTGGATCATTTGATAGTTGAGCAGTGCTTGGGGGCAGAAATGTTACAACTGGCTCTTTTAAAGTAAACTTACCAAAAACCCCCTAATTGTAAGCATATATCTATTCGAGTAGCATACCATATGTTTAATACAGTATGAATACAATACATGAATTGCACGAGGGAGTCTTTTACCTTTCCTCAAAAGCGTGGTGAAGATAAAAATAAAAATGCTCTGAAAAGAGTGATTTTATAAAGTTAATTTGGACATGGTATGAATGACCTGGAACTTCATGTAAAACTTAACCTGTATGCAGTTATAAAAAAAAAAAAATTGATAGGGTCAGCCAGATAAATTACACAGAGCTGACCTTATTTTTAAAATTACTTTGCTTAAGGAGATAACAGATCATTTTGGTCTTTTATGCAATAATTAAAATTCAGCTTTTGTGATAACAATAGAAATACTAAGCTTTGCTTTTCCCAGAGGTACTTAAAAAAAGTTTGACATACATACAAAAATAGGATGATATCAAGTTATCGAAATCTAAGCCAAGATTTTGTCATGGTTTTATTTTTGCCTCCAGACTTTAAATACTTATAATAAAGGATATATTTTAAAACATGAACTAAAAGCCTAGAGTTCACATTGCTCTCTTTGGAGCTGGGAGAGGCTTGTACACTCCCATACATTTTTTTAATTACAGGAAACATAACTCTTTTTATTGAAGATCAGTTTTATAAGAAAGAAGAAAAAAAAGGTTCATTCTTCAAGCAACACAACTTCAGTTTCCATTACATGCACCTTTTAGGAAAAATAGTCTCAATACACTCTTCAGGGCTTGTAGAAAACTTTGCTTGTCTTACAGAATGATTAAAAATTGCTCTGTGTTTGTTTCTGAATAGCTTGTCTTTTTTGGTAATTCCTTTCTCTTTTAGACTCCCAGATTGACATAAATTTATTACTTGAATGAGTAATGGAATAAAATTCTTTCTAGTAGGAAGTGTTGTAGTTCTGCGTCCTGAAAAAGTAGCATTAATGCTACTTATAAATAGTTAAAAACAGTTGTAGTTTTTCACTTTCAGCACTGTTGTTGTTGAAACAAGGACAAAAATAGTACTAATATTAAAGAGACTTATTTCACTACATTGTACATGCCAAAGAATACACAAAATACAGTTCTCTCTCCTGGTTTAATGCACCTCTTTTTAGTGGGCCTTCAGTGAAATGTGATTTTTCTTTTTTAGTTGGCTAGTATCTGAGCTACATTTATTTTTACCATACTATTTCTGTTTATAAATCGATGAAACTTCAATCTCATCTACCCCCTAAGTATTTAGAAAATGCAAAGGTAACTTTACCATTTTTCCAAATTGCTTATTCCTTTGTACTGACTTTTTTTCTTGAGGTACAGAAGAGAAAGTTGTGAGGGGTTTTTTTTTTTTCTCTGGTGTCAATAGCTCTTGAAGAGTGGAACCCATATGGATTATTCCTCCCTCCCTCTCTCCCTCCCTCCCTCTCTCTCTTTAAAAATTATTGCATCACAAGGCAGTGCTGATTGGAAAGACCGGGTCTACCACACAATGAGCTATAACGTCACTTTATACAGTGATGACTCTGTGTTGGTTTTGCTTTGTCATCACTCTTTGGGGCACTGATGTGTGATTAAGCCTCTTCCTCAGGCTGCTGGCACTTTTGGCCCCTCTTCCTCATCCTAGTTGGGGGCTGCAGCCCAAGGAAATAAAAATGCAGGAGGGAAGGGGAAAAGGACATTCCTGCCACAGCCAGGTAGTTGCTGCCACAGCTGGGTAGTTGTAGCTATGTAAGAGCAGAGCACTCACTGACTGGCAGCTCCGCTGTCGGAGTGGGGAAGGAAGGTGTGCTGTATTCCAGGTGTGCACCCAGGGCTGAAAAGATGTTAGAAGTAGTAGTGCAAAATCAGGTGATTTGTTAAATTATTATTTTCCCTGCCTCCTTTTTCTTTGGACAAAATAGCAAGATAGAATTAGTTAAAAGAAGGTAGATCACATGAAGGCAGTTTCCCTGAGAAGAGGAAGCTCAGGTGATGTTTGGAAGAATTCCTGGTCTCCAGAGGAAGGGCATAAAGATTGTGATGTGAGCAAGCAATTCTTGAGCCACCTCTGGGATGGCTGCTCTAAGACCTTCTACATTCTTCAGATCTCACCATTTGGGAAGCATTCCAGGAAAGAACACCTTTTGTCTTTTTTTTTTTTTTTTTCTTTTGTCTGTCTGTCTTTTTTTCTTTTTGTCTTTTTTAAATGGATTGAGTCCACCTGTGTATCAGCCTTCTTGTATCAAGGCTGATGTGACTGATAGAAGTTTGTAAACTTACCTGTGAGGGAAGACCTCGTTATACAGTCTTTGCACTTGGTTGTATTGCATAAGCAAATGAAAATCATATGGATAAGCCTATAGAAATAATTAAAAGGCACCTACCATCCTGTGATCTGAAAATGAGGAGAAGGAGTATTATTACTATTTATTAGAACAGTTGCCAAGTAAGTGGTGGTGAGCAGAGGACTGGATTTACTTGGAGTAGGCAATTGGGTGTGACGAACGTAAAAATCAATGGTATGTTTGTACACTTTCTGCAAAGCTCTAATCAACTGGAGTGAGAAAATCTTCTAATACAAGATATGTAGAATAATAATCCACAGGAATGGGAGTGAAGCATATGCAGATTAGAAAAGGAAAAAAAAAACAGGTGGTAGGGAAGCATTCAATATTTGGCACAATTTGCTGGAAAACAAAATAAAAAATTACTTTGAAGAAGAATTGGAGAAAGATTATTTTCATACATGGAAAGTCTGCGGCAGTCCTTAGGCTCACAATTGAGAATGGATGAAGACCTCTGATTTTGTAAGTGAGAAATACTGAGTATTGTCAAGACTGACAAGATTGGATAGTACTACTAATGGTAACAAGGTAGTCAATAGATTTCTTTACCGGTCTCTACATTAACAAAGCACAGACTTGGTGAGCCATTTAGAAGAGGTGCTTGAAGAGGAATTATTGTATTCTTCACATATGCGACTCATGGATTACCTGCTTAAAAAGGGAGAGAGGGGGCACTGGGAATTACATAAAATGCTGCTTATCTCCACCCACCTTTGGTTTTGTGTATTTTACGTTAAAACTTATTTTCATTAAAAAGTAATTACAAGCTTTATGGATGGATTGATTCAAGTTGTTGCAGAGTCAGATGCATAAAAATTATATATGTAATATATATTCATAACTTCAGAAGTGCAGTGTCTCAGTTTTACTAAGAAATTGCTAGGGAGATGATTTTTTAAGATTTACATATGGAACAAATCGCTGGTTTGATTAATCAGAAATTTCAAAATGCATACCTCAAACAGGAGGAGTGAATGGGAACTTGCTGGGAAAGGCTTTAAACTTTGCTGAATGAAACAAGCAAGGTAAAAAGGAAACCAGGGACTAAATCAGAACTTAAAAGAAATGGGGAAAAGCTGCTAGTCAGCAGAGCTAGACAGACATATCTTAAAGAGTCAGATAGTGTTAACAGTTCTTTTTTTGATCTTAAGAACAAACTTAGCAAAAGGATACTGAAATGAACTAGAAAATATTTATGTAAACACACATCTATTTATATCCATAAACACATTTACTGTGAAGTCTCTGTAATACTGGGCTTGACTGGTGGAACTTTCATTATCACTGAAACCAGTAAAAATTCTTGCTTTGTCTTCAGAAACTTAATTTCATTTAAATCTTGTAACTGAAAACAGTAAAGGCATCAATTACTTATAATGTCATGTGTTTATGTGTCTGAAAAGTGCATTCAAACGCCTAACGTGATCTTTCTTTCTCCCCCTCCCCCTGTTCTAGGAATTGGCTCTCCGTAGCCAGCTTCCAACTATGGAACAAGATGGTGGATCTCAAAATCCTGTGTCGTCTCCTGGAATGTCTCAGGAACTGAGAACAATGACTACAAATAGTTCTGATCCCTTTCTTAACAGGTTTGTAGGAGTAGCTACTAGAGGGGAAAAGAAATTGATTTAAATTCTGTTTGGTACATGTAATAGTTTATTTTGAACATCTGTCTGTGCCAAAAGCCACAGCTGTAAATGAATCTTTCCTTAAATGGCAAGTCTAGTAAAAGTTGAGGATTAAAAGCTGTCTCCTGTGGGAGGAAGTAGTCTGTTCAGACTTGTAGGAAGGTTTTTTATTCAAAGTCGTAACATGTTTGCTTCTGCATAATCTGTTGACTAACAGTCATTTCAAATTACTGACTCAGAAGAATTTGTGAATAGCTTGCTATGAGATCAAATGAACTGTGAGGCACATTTAGGACTACACCTTGAGGTTCATTTTAAGGTTTCTCCATTCACCCCTCCCTGCCGCTTCAGGTATTTAATTTAGCAGTATTTTTACTCTGTTAATGCTAGGTCTGCAAATAGTGGCATGCTTCATTTTAAATACCAAATTATTTTAAAGTGGGTCTTTTAATGCAAGATTTAGAATTTTACAGTATAGACTGTAATCTTTTTCATATAACTTTCTCCTTAATCCCTCTGATTTGGAATGTTTGTTTTGTTGGAAATACCATTCTAATTACAGCTTGCAAATGCTTCATACTAACCATTACAACTTTAGAGAAACTGCTGCAGCTTGAGATAAGTCGTATCTGCATTTTTTGCTTAGCATGCTGGAAAGAAAAGATGAAAACGGTAAAACAAACAAATCTCCAAGCCACATAAACTTTTAATTAATGGATTAAAAATCCACTAATATTTCAGCAGTATCAAGTAGTTGATCTTAAGTTGGGTAGTCAGTTTTGTAGTTCTTTTAGTCTGTATTTTGTCAGCCATTCTAAACTGATATCAACTCACTAACCCGATATGAACTGACTAACCCCTAGCATAAAAGAGAAGAATTAGGTATTCTGTCAGAGTTCATCATTACTTTTCTGCATTACCTTGAAATGTTAGCCTAACTTTAGGATGCTGACTGTAAGTGCGCATGAAGTATAACAATATGTTTGTCCTTATCTTTAATGGTACATTTATTATACTCGTGGAAAACCCCATAAAATTAATCTTTATTTTTTCAATGAAAGTCTTAACTTCTATGGTTTTTGCTACCAATACAGTTTCAAACCTATTCATAAGGTAAGAAGTCCACATCATGTTAGAACTGACATGACTTTGGAGTAGGCTTAAATACCTGCTGTAGTTTTAGATACTGAAAACTGTTAAAATCTTAGTAAACATTTGCTGCAATTATAAATCCCTTCCCGTATTCTTTTAAATAACTTAATATTGCTGATATCTCACACTTAGGTTCTTCATCCCTAAAGATGTACTGTTATTGTATGTAACTTTTCAAGTTGCTGATATTCCATCAATTTATCTTAAGTTTGTTTCATTTTCTGCCTTTTCCAGGAGACTTATCGGTCATTTCATGTACTCTGTCCTTACTCTTATTCTCAAAATTAATTAAGTTCAGTGGAGATGGTGCGAGACCATACCCTACTTCTTGCCAGTGGAATCTGTTGTCGTTCATATAGTTTAGATTAAGAGCAACAGCTGTTATTTACATAAGCTTTTTCTCCTATTGCATGATGTATTGTCTGTGCTAGTGTTGTGTGTGCTACTGTCAGAGTGGGAGAAAAGTTTCTGTCTTGAGGTACACAGTGTTTTATATATAATGGAGAAAACCAAGTCAAAAAAAAAAAAAAAAAAGGCCTACATGTGGAGAAGAAAGTAGTGGTGTTTTGTTGTTAAACATCCTAAGGAAGTAAGCAGTATTTCCAAGTTTTGGGTAGGCCCTTCAGGAAGACTTATCTCCTACACAAACAAATCTTATTAGAAAACTTTATTTTTTTGTGTTAGAGGGAGGGATTGTCCTCCACAGAATTCATCCTGGAATCTGGTGTGAGCCTTAATTGTGCTGGCCCTGTCGCAAGGCATGAAAAGGACAAAGAAGTCTTAAGACTGACTTGCTTTCCTATGAGAAGTCTCTGTAGATAGATGAAGGCCTTGATGTGTTATAGTAACATACTAGCTTGAATTTCTGGAAGGCTGTTGCCGTCATACATTGAGCCCAGGTATATTTTGAAACTTGTTCTTAAATGATGTAGAATCCTCACATCTTCAAAACCTGTTTTCTGACCTGAAAGAAACGCATCTTCAGGTTTCAAATGGCCACAGCAATGGACTAATACAGTTTATCCATTGTGTCTACACACATGGAATATAAAATGATGGATCTTTACCTTTATTTAGAAACAGGAAAAAAGCTAGAAAGGGCAAGTTCATGTTGTTTGTAAATTTTTGTCAGGATGATAATGAGCAAGGACTATTTACTGTAAAGTACAAAAAGATACTACTTGCCTAGTTGCAAATATGTTTAACTGGGTTTTTTTTGTAGCCCTTACCTCACGCAAAATACTGAAAATCTGTACCTGACTTGAGTTCAGAATATCTTAATTTGTATTTTGGCCTGAGCATTGTCCCCTTCTAGGTAATTCTGTGTACATTGCTGCATTCAATTCTGACATATGGGTAAGGGATTTTATAAAAGGAAATTTGTGGATATGCATTACTGTCTCCGAATTAGATACAGCAGTCCAATAGTTCTGCCCTAATGATCTCCTTGATGTCACTTATGTTAAAGTTCAGACTTACAGAAATGCTTCTTTCTGTCTTTATAGGGTATATATAAAGTTCCTGGTGAGACAGTCCTCCTGACTTTAGGTACCAAAAGTTGGATATCCAAAGTTTAGGTAGCTGAATATTTTCCACTGCCTACATAATCAGAACAGCCAAAAAATCTCAGAAAATAATTGCTACATTGGAGCAATTTGAGAAAATGTACAGTAGTATTTTCATTTACACAGTCAATCTTCTGCCTGCTGTCTTTGTGGTATGTTTTACTTTTTAAATAGGACATCCAGCAATGCAGACTTCAATAGATGTTTTCACCTTTTGGTTTGCCACTCTGTTTATATATTTTTGTCTATAAGATTTATATTGGTAGTGACGACAATTTTCTCTTTAACTCCTAAATTGGGATTTCTTCTTTTATATACATGTATTTTAACAAGTATTAGTTGAAGAAGCACCTACTCTATTTCAGGTAATGCAATTCAGTTGCATGCAATCATTTTGGGTGGTGCAACTGCTAAATGAAGAAGTCCTTGTGAAAGAAAGAGGAAATGTGTATTGAGGAGTGATTTGAAGAGAAGGGCTGGACATTCCAACTTGTGAGAGCAGCAGCCAAAAAGCCTTCTCAATTAGAATGATTTAGTTCAGCATAGTCTCAGTTCCGTATTTAGTATTTTGTCCCACAAAGTAAACCAACATTTTTTTCACAGAAGTTTTAAATAGCTTAATTATTAGGATTGTTATCAAATGTGTGGTGATACTATTTTTAAATCAATCTAAAAATATATTTATCATTTAACTATAAAGAAATGTTAGGTTTCTTGTACAGCAAAGATGACTTCATAACATCTAATATGTATATTCATGGCTGATGGCATTCTACTTGCATCCAGTGTTGAATAGCTGTTCAGCCATCATCTGTTTGGTTCTTCATACTTGACAAAAAGGCATATGCTATATATTTCATGATCACATTATGAGAAGGATCAGTATGCCTTCAAATGCTAATTTGAACAGTAGGTCAAGTTGATCCTCATTTAGTGTTCGGGCTGGAAAATCAGTAAGGATTCTTGGTGAATGCTACCACAACCTGAAGAAATAGAAATTTTGAAAATATTTTGTGAAGCTTGACTATTAGGAGATGCAGGAGGAGGGAAGTAATGGTATACTTCTACAGCTGCTTATGCAGGCCACAGTTCCTGCCCAAAAACCTGCTCCTTGCTTGGGCTCCTCTCCATGGATCACAGTTCCTGCCAGGAACCTGGTCCTGCATAGACTCGGCTGCAGCTTCCTTCAGGGCACATCCACCTGCTGCAGTGTGGGGGCCTCCCCGGGCTGCCCGGGGGGACCCGCCCC